TCACACTTAAATAAGAGTATGAGATTTAATAAAATAAGTATATATATATATAAATATATTTTAAAAAAATATGACATGTTGACCTACTTATCAAAGTTTGTGCTTTATTAATTTATTATAATTTTTATAGCATTAAAGTTGTTACGTATAATTATTTGACAGTCAACATTTTTAGCACAGAGATAATTTCAAATCAAAATTTCATAATTAGATAAACAACACATGGAAATATGAAATTTTATAAAATAAGTATATTTTTATTTAAAATATGCATTGATCTACTCATCTAACCGTTAGACAATCGCATTCACAAATGATTTTTGATTAGTTAATATACGAAATCTCATTAAATGTTCTTTATCTTTATGCGATTCATTGTCACGTTTGAATTATGATATGAAATTTATGAATTAGGTAAATCTATTAATTTATAAAGAGGTAATATATTTACTCGAAATAACAATTAAAAATCAGTAAAAAAACATTTGGTTTGCCGCCTAAAGTATTTATTATATTGAGTAATATTTTTTGTCAAAATTTGAACCGTCTAAATTAATGTACAAAATCATTTTTGTCAATATTGCGGCTATTACCTTTATTAATTGCATGATTTAAATTTGGAATATAATATATTGACAAAACTTGCAGCTATTACCTTTATTAGTTGCATTGGTTTAAATTTTGGTATATAATATATTGAAAAAAATAAAAAGATTTTTATTTAAATGTAAAAATAAAATATAATTATTCATAACTTACGGGTCAATATTAACTTAGGCGTAAACGAAATAGCAATTATTTATAATTTAATAAATTACTCAACTACTTAATTTTTTTATTTGAATAGTTTATACAATTATAAATTATTTTAAGTAATGAAACAATATAAAAGTTTATATTTATTACTTATTATTCACATAGGTTGTTAAATATATGATAACATTTTATCAAAATAACTATTTTATGGAATCACATATAGTCAAATCGATTTTCTGAATAAAATTTTTGAAATGATACTTATTTTGAAACGAATGTAATGTAATTTATTATCAGTTATGTGCACCGCACGTGTTGTATATTAATTTTAAATATTTATTTTTATGTAATTTCGCACAATTTAAACTTTATATAACATTTTCAATAAATTAATATATATAAATTGTATTACATATTGATATGACAATTACATATTGATTTCATATTTTTAATTTATAAATATTATTTAATAATAATTTTTTATTTATAAATATTAATGAATATCTTTTACCCGTGCACTACACAAGACTCATACTAGTTAGATAAGTGACGTAAATTCACATAATATCACATACATATTGAAGGTATAAATTATTTATCACATTCTAATGTGTTGTATTGTAGTAATCTCCCTTTTCAATTTTCTTTACAAAGATTATCTGAAATAAAGTCCCAATAGCACGATCTCATTTTCTTAACGTGATTACAGAAAATAGTAAAAAAAAAACTCGACACAAATTGGTTGTTCCCAGGTGACTAAGTTATCTATTATTTGACCAAACCATATCGATTATTGAAGCTAAATATAAATTTTAATATTGAAAATACTTTATTACGTGAATGTGATGCAGTCCAAACTTCAAATAATCGTATTAACAATACTTTTATGACAACACATTTAATAATTTATAAATATTTATATATCATTTTATTAATATTTATGTGAATAAAATAGTATTTTATTATAATTGTTATTAATGTACATGTAAATTTAAGGTTTCAGAACAGGACCGTCATCGAAACGATCAAGTTATTTTATTAAATCATTTGTGGTTTGTTCAGATTTTAATTTATAAATATTTTAATATACATATATATATATATATATTTAGTGATCTTTGTAATAAATTTAAGTAAAATGTCTTACTTAAATATCTAAACAATTTATAAATTCAAATGTTTAAACTAATTGATAAACAATTTATAAATCTCTATTTTATTTAAATATATAATTTTATTTAAAATAATTTTAAATGTAGAAAACTTTATTAGAAAATCGTATCGATCCTACCAGTCCAATCGACTGGTGTTGACGAATTCGATAGCAAATATTTTATTCAAACGAACTAGACTAGTTATAAACCGGTTCTCGGTCTATTCGGTCGGACTATGTCCAACCCGGTTTAATTTAAAACTAATGGGTAAATCATGATTAATGTTATTTATATATTTAATTTATAATACAATTGTAATATTGTTTTTCCGTGTATCGCACGGGCCACGCACTAGTCAGGTAAATCAGATAAGTGTAATATAATATCTCATACAAATTATAGGTAAAGTTCATTAAACAACTTTCTCATCTTGTTATTGTAATCTCCTTTTTAAATTATCTATATAAGATTTTATCTGAAATATGAGTCCAATAGCACGATCATTTCGCATGATTACGGTAACATCAACGCTATGCAGACACGTGTGAGTAACTGATTGGCTGTTGCTGATACCTCAGCGAAGGGTACGGTGCACCGCGTTGCATAGAATGCATCGGTCTCAGTTTAAAACCTCGCTCTCACCTCTCTGACTCTCACTTCCTCATAGTACATTGTGGTAAACTGGTAATTTACTGATTTCTCGATTTTTTTGGACTAAATATATAAATATTGTCCATTAAGAAGACGATATACGTTACGTTTTCTTCCCAGGCGGCAAAATCGGCTGCCGATCGGAACAGTAATTTTCCGGCATTCGTAGAAATTTTTTTCGAGCTGAAAATGAGTGAAAAAAAATAGTACTTTGCGTTTTTCCGCTATGCTAATGCATTTTTCTTAGGGCTGTCATTCAACTCCCGTTTGATCGGAATTTAAACTAATATTCAATTCGAATTATATATTCGTTTACTGCATGTGGGCAACGTATGATTGCGGAAAAAAAAGGTTGCATTTTGTTATGGTTTTAAAGCGCTGTGTATGGTGATAATTTTTCGTTGATTCTGAATGTGGTAATTTATCTGGGTTTGCTCGAATTTAAGGACTGTGTGTTTTTCTGGCATCGTCTCATTTAATTGTATGTGCAGGTTAAAACCGAGGACCAGGCTATAATTAACACTACCAGTTTGTATTTTTGTTTCACAGGAGGCTTGTCTTTAAGCTGACTAAGATTTCTCCATTTGAAGATATAAGCGCGTAATAATGGTGAATCTCTCAACTCAGATTTTATTAAAGTTGGTTTTTAGACCCTGTTTGACTGGTTGACTTTTCTTGCTCTGTTTAGACATGTTTTGTGTCACCTCCTCCAAGTTATACATTGCTTAGAGAATATTGTTTATTCATGGTGTTGAGGTTCATTACTCTGCAGTTTTTTTTTTCTTTAAGTTGAGATGCTTTTATTGTATTCTGCAGCTTCACTTGAGTGTAAAACCTTAGTTTTGTGTTATGGTTTTTCCGTATTTGGATCTTTAGTGGAATGAGGTGTGTTCTTGTATTAATGTTGATAGTTTGATATTACAATGCTAACATCTCTCAAATCCGTTGTGGTATACTGATACAACTTGCTTTCGGGTGTGCGCACGATTGCATGTATCTTTACGTAGATGTAGATCTGCCCACGTTCTATGTTGGGGGCATAGGCTTTTTCAGAAATAGTTTTGATTTGACTGTGTGAACTGTGTGATTCATGATTTAGACGTTTGTCGTGTGATTCATGATTTAGACGTTTGTCGTGAATTAATTATTTTAACTCATCCGTAAGATCAACACTAAGCTATAGAATTATTCTCCCAAATTCTAACTCGGTTATCTAATGTCTGTTAACTCAAAATTTAATTGTTTATGTTTGTGATCTGAAGGCGAATTGTCATGAAAATTACATACATATAAGTAATTAATCACTTAATTTGTTTGAGCTGTAGGTTATTCCATTCTCTTGGTTCATCCTTGTGAAGTCTATGTGAAACCTCTGGTTAATGTTTTTGTGTAACCTTCTGCTGCATGCCATGCATCTGTTCTTCGAGGCGTAGAGTTCCTTCCATCTATTCATTGATCATGTCAAGGGCTCCTTCTAGAATGCATTAACACCTAAACGGTTAAATTTGCTCGTAAATATATTATAGTTGTCGAAAGAAAGTGTCGTGTGTTTCATAAGCGTGAATTTTATGAAACAACCTTCATTTACGGTTTACCTATGTGTCCATATCCATGACACTGGTTTAGTATTTATTGCTTCCAATTTATGATTCTCACCTATTCATATATGATTTGTTGAAAAAAGCTTTCGACCTTATACCCATCCATCGGAAACATATATCCATTTATATATAGGCTTGCTTTCATTTGTTCACGTGGTGATTATTTTTCAAATTTACCATTATAATTATAATAACGCTCACATTGTACAGTGTGCTCTTTACAGAACAACAGCATTCGGTTATCCAGAGGCTCCGATTCCCTGACTAACGGCAATCACAAACGTGCTCATCCGTTGTTCGTGAGTAATTCTGAGCAAGAGCTGTTTTCCAACAAGAAGCAAGCAGTAGAATACACAGCGACAAGTTTCTTTATGAACGGCAGTTCGAGCTCTCAGTCGGGAGATCAAAGGGATAATAATCGTGTCCCTTATGACCCTAACTTCTTCCCGAACCTCGTTGCCTCTGAAAAGAATAATTTCCATGATGCCCCTGGTTTTGAGAGTCGATTAAGAAATGATCATCTAATTAGTCTAAGCATGTCTCAGGCAGCAGAAGATCCTCAGTTTCGCAACACCGCACTTCGAAAAGTCAAAGTCAACGAGGTCCCGCAGAAGATTTCAATGGGCAGCAACTTTCTGACGCCCGGTAATAATTCGATGCATGCTGAGCTGGCTAGCAAGACAAACGGCAATTTCTTGTTCAACAATCACTACTACAACTCGGCTGGCCCTCTTTACAGCAAGGCCCAAGATAATTTCTTTGCAGTGAACCCATTCTATGGTGAATCGAACGAGATGTTCGTGCCTGCCGGTTTAGGTCAGGATGATGATGTCATTCCCTACAGCGACGAGACAGCTGTCATTGACGAGAACTCGGACAAGGGCAAACAGAATAAGGAGACAAAAGTGAAAAACGGGTTGTTTAGTAATTTCCCGTTGGACGTGAGAAGATTACTAGAAACAGGAATATATGATGGGGTCCCTGTGAAGTATGTTTCTTGGACGAGAGAGGTGAAGTGAAGTGAAATGCTACTCTTAGTTCTTTTTTTCCATTCATAGATCGTTTCGCCAGACTAGCCTTAGAGGGGTGATAATGGGTGCTGGCTATTTGTGCAGTTGTGGCGAATGCAAGCTCTCTAAGGTTCTTACTCGATTCGGTTCTTTCTTTTCTCTTGTTTTTTTTTTCCTCCTTTTCTGTTCTGATATTGTGCTTTCGACTTACGTTGTCACAGGTTGTTAGCGGTTATGCGTTCGAGCGCCATGCTGGAGGCAGGACCAAACACCCGAACAAACATATTTACTTCGAAAATGGAAAGACTGTATTTGCAGTGGCTCAGGAGCTGAAGGCTACACCACCAGAAAAGCTCTTCGAAGCAGTAAAAACCGCCACCGGATCTGCAGTTCACTTGACAAATTTCCTTACTTGGAGAGGTGACTTTTATCTTTTTCTTTTTTTTCTTACCCATTATCTTTTTTCTCCACATTTAACAAATTGTAACTTCTAAAATGGCCAGTTTCTTGAAAATTGAAATAAAAAAAATGATTGATATGAGTCATTACAGTGCAAGAAATGCACGTGTGCATGAATTTGCGCTAAGTGCACGAGTAGCGCAGTTTTAACTACGGGCAATGAGTGATTCACCCTTTGCCATTTTTTCGAATTCAGCAGCAGAAATATATGCTTACACCAATTTTTAACCCATTTTTTCTTATTTACTTTTTACATTCAGCATCCTTTCAAGCTGCGACGATTTCTCAGGGGTCGTGATAACTGCTGGTTGTCTAGCCAGAGGACATGCTTTCCTTTTCTTTTTNTTTTCTTTTTTTCTAATGTTGATGTTAAATGTGTTTGAATATTTCAGAAACAGATAGACAATAAAGTGATAAAACTTGTAGAAATTCTGTGCATTAAAGTGATCTTTTAAGGTTGTTATGTATGTTTTGGGGTAAGATTGTATTTTTTCTTTTTTTTAGCTTAAATTAAATCTTTGTAGCATTATATAATCACTATATTCTAATGTTCTGTTTTATTTCACATTCATTTTTTTTTCGTCTGGGCACGTGCAAGTGTATGGAGTGTCTCTTGCGAATTTTGTGCAGAGTTAGTACATTTGACGTGCATTTATGATACGGGATATTTATGCAGAACTAGTATAAAATTAACTGCAGATAGAAATATTAATGTTTTCATATGAAACATGAGTTTCATCATATAAATAGTACGATTCAAAATGGATGTGGAATAATACAATATCATAGAAAGCATCTCATACAATACATATTCAACGTGTTACGTCACTCTCTCCAAGTAGTATTCAAGACATTTTAGACTCTGTTTGACTTGTTGACTTTTCTTGCGCTGTTTAGATATATTTTATGTGTCACCTCCTCCAAGTCATACATTGCTTAGAGAATATTGTTTATTCATGGTGTTGGGGTTCATTCCTCTTCAGTTTTTTTCTACCTTGATTGGTGAATTTGAGATGCTTTTATTGTATTCTGCAGCTTCACTTGAGTGTAAAAACTTAGTTTTGTGTTACGGTTTTTTGTGTATTTGGATCTTTACTAGTGCAGTGATGTTTGTTCTTGTATTTATGTTGATAGTTTGATATTACAATGCGGCCTTTTCAGGAATAGTTTTGATTAGACTGTGTAAACTGTGTGATTCATGATTTAGACGTTTGTCGTGAATTAATTAATTTAACTGATCTGTAAGATCAGCACTAAGCTATATCCTCATTTATATTATAGTAGTCGAAAGGAAGTGTCGTGTTTCGTAAGTGTGAATTTTATGAAACAACCTTCATTTTGTACAATGATATTGATTTGTTGAAATTAACTATCATCTGTATATAGCTTGCTTTCATTTGTTCACGTGGTGATTATTTTACAAGTTTACCGTAATTACAATAATGCTCACATGGTATAGTGTACTCTTTACAGAACAAAAGCATTCGGTTCCTTGACTAACGGCGAAATGTCTTATGATAAGTCAACTCAAGCAGATCACAAACGCGGTCAACCGTTGTTCGTGAGTAAATCTGAGCAAGAGCTGTTTTCCAACAAGAAGCAAGCAGAAGCAGTAGAATCTGCGCAAAAAAACTCGAACCCCAGCACACAAAGCTTTGACAAGTGCCTCTGAAAATAATAATTCCCATTATGCCCCTGGCTCTACCAAAATGGCAAAAATGGGTTCCGAAAGTCGATTGAAAAATGATTATCTAATTAGTCTAAGCATGTCTCAGGCAGCGGAAGATCCTCAGTTTCGCAACACCGCACTTCGAAAAGTCAAAGTCAACGAGGTTCCGCAGAAGAACAATAGTGTAGTGGGAAACAACTTTCTGATGTCCGGTAATGATTCGATGCATGCTGAGCTGGCTAGCAAGACAAACGGCAATTTCTTGTTCAACAATCACTACTACAACTCGTTAGGCCATTATGGGAAATGGGAAGACTGTACATGCAGTGGCTCAGGAGGTGAAGGCTACACCACAGGAAAAGCTCTTCGAAGCAGTAAAAACCGCCACTGGATCTGCAGTTCACCTGACAAATTTCCTTGCTTGGAGAGGTGACTTTATCTTTTGTTTTTTTTCTTATACATTATCTTTTTTTCTCCACATTTAACAAATTGCAACTTCTAAAATGGCTAGTTTCTTGAAAATTGGGGGAAAAAAAAAGAATGATTCAGATGAGTGTTTACAGTGCAAACACTGCGCATGTGCATGATTTTGCGCTATGTGCACGCGTAGCGCAGTTTAAGCGGGCAATGAATAATTCGCCCTTTGCCATTTTTCGAATTTAGCAGCAGAAGTATATGCTTACACCAAGATTTTTAACCCATTTTTTCTTATTTACTTTTACATAATTACATTCAGCATCCTTTCGAGCTACGACGATTTCTCGTGGGTCGTGATAACTGCTGGTTGTCTAGCCAGAGGACATGCTTTCCTTTTCTTTTCTTTTTTTTTTTTTTCTAATGTTGATGTTAAATGTGTTTGAATATTTCAGAAACAGATAGACAATAAAGTGATCACTTGTGGAAATTCTGTTTTTAAAGTGATCTTTTAAGGTTGTTATGTATGTTTTGGGTTAAGCAATTTTTTTTTGCTTAGATTAAATCTTTGTAGCATTATATAAACACCATATTCTAATGTTCTGTTTTATATCACATTCATTTTTTATTTTTTATTTTTTGTCTGGGCATGTGCAAGTCATGTATAGAGTGTGTCTCTTGCGAATTTTGTGCAAAGCTAGTATATTTGACGTGCATTTATGATATGGGATATTTGTGTAGAATTAGTATAAAATTAACTGCAGTTAGAAAGATTAATGACTTCACATGAAACATGAGTTTCATCATATAAATAGTTCAATTCAAAATAGATGTGGAATAAATAATAATACAATATCACATAAAGCATCAAATACAATACATATCGATGTTGTGGTACGTTACTCTCTCAAAGAAGTATTCAAGACTTGATGGACTAATACAATTTAAGTGCAAATTTGGAGTTCATTGATGTTTTAACAAACCATTTATATTATTTATTACAAAACATCTCCTTCTCAAACAACAGTATCGCCAGATATTGTTGATTTTGCAGAAAGATTATCAATGGATGTCGCATTTTGTTGACCAACGATTTCAGTCTCGGCATAGAAAAATTCTTTCTCGTCTTTACTTTTGCCCCAAATGACTAAGTACAATCCAATAACAATTACCATAGCTCCGGCTACCCTGCAATTATCACCCTATAGTTAGCATTTTTAACTTGATACCAATATGACTACACATGTATTCGGCTGAACTGGTCAAAATCGATTAAGCGATCAATCAGTTGAACTCTAGTTGTTTCACATGTTCGTATAGTCTGATAGACGAACAGACACAAGTTATTTTTTTCTTAAATCTTTTTTCGTAGTTTTAGAAAACATAATTTCTTACTTTCCCACATCCAATTGCTCGGCCAAGATGAAAGAGCTCAAAACCGCAACAATGACCATATTCAGAGGATTAAACGAGGTGACGAAAACAGGTCCTTTTTCTTCCATTATGACACCCGAAACATAGTAAGTAATTGCCGAACACATTATTCCCTGCATTGAATAAAAACATGATAATTTCCTTCAAAAAAAAAAAAAAAGTTACATCATTCGAGAAGAAAAAAATGCGGAAATGTATTATAATCTTACGCCATAAACATAAGCTACGAGTTTGATATCCCATCCTATGGACCATATGGCCGTGTTGCACCTCTCGACGGCTAGAGTCAACACGGCCCCTTGCAAAGCTCCCGCCATGCATATTAGGCTCGTCAGTGAAAGTCCAGCTGGATATGACTTCAATGTAGTCGCCTACAATTCATTTCACGATAACAAAAGAAATGTACGTACTTCACTACATTTAACTCAATGCGAAAACGAAGGAAAATTTTAAGTCGGGTTTTTACTGTTGGATATGTGTG